AGGTGGACGTGGTGAAAGGGGACCTCTGAGACTACAAAGGAGATGTCAGGGTGCAGGGCTGGATTCTGGGTCCCTGTGTCTTGGAACTAGGAGCTCATTCATCCTCTTTCTGCCCCAGGTACCCCCTTGAGCATCAGAAAGAAGAATTTAGGCCCTGAGCCCAAAGCTGTGCTGAGACAATTTCAAACAGATCTGGACAACCTGGAAAGGGAAATCGTGGCCCGAAATGAGAAGCTAGACCTTCCCTATGACTATCTGAAGCCTGGCTGCATAGAGAACAGTATCACTCTCTGAGCTCAATTATGCTGGTCCTCAAAGACCTTAGGCCATCATTACTATGAACATTTTCCTCCTGAGTCTTGTCTTTTTTTGGATCTCAGTTGCTGTGTTTTTCTTTTTGCCTCTGAGTTTTCTACCTGAGTATCTCATTAGCCTGAGGCACTGTCCTTACCTTTAGGGACCCTATGAGAATGATCTGTACACTGCAGTCACATTCCTTAGAGAAATCACCCATGTACTCCTGTCGCTTTTCCTTGGCCCTGGAAATTTACCTTCTCCATTCATCGTAGAATGTTTAGGAGTCATTATGTAGCATGTTGTAGAGGTGCAATTTCATTTCTTTCCATCTGGATAATCAGTTATGCCAGCACAGTTTATGGAAAAACTCATTCTTTCCCACTAATCTACAACGTTGACGTTAATCAAATTCCTGTATACAAATGTTACTATTGGAAATGTCCATTCTACTCCATTCATTAATTTATACCTAACACAGCCTACTATTTGATAAGACATACTCATCCAATTTGTTCTTTTCAGGTGCTTTGGCTTTTCTTCAACATATAAATATTACAGTTACTGTGTTAAGTTTCAGAAATAATACATGATTTTTATTGGAATCACATTGTATGTATAGACATTTTAATACAACATTTTTGCATTACAAAAATGTCTACTTCAGCCAAGTTTGCATTTTTTATCTATATCCAAGTGGGTCCTTTTCTGCATTGTGATTCCATTTGTTTTTTGTTTGTTTGTTTATTTGTTTGCCTGTATTGCATCTGGGTTCCTGGGTAAGATTGGCCTATGAAGGGTTATAGACTTGCAGAGAGGCAATATTAGGAACTCTGCTAAAATGAGTCATTAAAATAATAGGAAAGAACAAAATACAGAATTCTGTCGCTAGAGACTCAAATGCATTTGCCAAAATCATGTACAGCTGGGGGTCCACATCCCTGGATTCAACCTATCGTGGGTGGAGAATATTTTTTAAAATAATGGTTGCATTTGTACTGAACATGTAAGACCATTTTTTCTCGTCATTGGTCCCTAACAATGCAGTTTAACAATTCCTGGCATGCCTTGTTATATTGTGCTGTGATCTCTTGTGCTTTCCAAATATTAAAAACACAATTTGCAAATTGATAGTGTAGCAACCCTGCCTCGAGCAAGTTCATCGACGCCATTTTTCCAACAGCATGTGCTGCGTGCCTCTGAGTCACATTTTGGATCTTCTCATGATATTTCAGGCATTTTCATTGTTGTTCTATCTGTTATGGTGATCTGTGATTGATTGATGACCTTTGATGTTACAGTTGTCTCTGCTTTGGAGCTCCATGAACTGTGCCCGTCTAAGATAGCAAACTTCATTGATAAATGTTGTGTGTCTGATTGCCCCTCCAACCAGCCATTCCCCCATCTCTCCCATTTTCCTTGGCCCTCCCTCTTCCCTGAGACACAACAATATTGAAATCTGGTCACTTAACAACCTGCAATGGCCACTCAGTGTTCAAATGAAAGAAAGAGTTGCACATACCTCACTTTAAATCAAAAACTAGAAATGACTAAGGATAGTGAGGAAGGCATGTCTATAGCCGAGATAGGCCAAAAGTTGGGCCCCTTGTACCAGGTCACTAAGTTGTGAATGTAAAGGGAAAGCTCTTGAAGGAAATTACAAATGCCACCCTGGTGAACCCATAAATGACAAGAAAGTGAAACCACCTTATTGCTAATATTGGAGGACGTTTGAGTGGTCTAGATAGAAAATTAACCAATCTACAACATTTCCTTAAGCCAAAGCCTAATCCAGAGAAAGACCCTACCTCTATTCAATTCTATGAAGACGGAGAGAGGTGAGGAAGCTTCAGAAGAAAAGTCTAAAGCTAGCAGATTTTGGTTCATGGGGTTTAAGGAAAGAAGCTGTCTCCATAACATAAAAGTGCAAGGAGAAGCAGCAAGTGCTGATGCAGAAGCTGCAACAACTTATCCAGAAGATCTAGCTAGGATCACTGATGAAGGTGGCACTACACTAAGCAACAGATTTTTATGTAAACCAAACAGCCTTCTACTGGGAGAAGCTGCCGTCTAGGATTCCCACAGCTGGATAGGAGAAGTCGAGGCCTGGCTTCAGAACTTCAAAGGACAAGCTGACCCTCGTTTCAGGAGTGCACGCAGCTGGTGACTAGAATTGGAATCCAGTGTTCACTTACCATTCTAAAACGACCAGGGCCCTTAGGAATGAAGCTGAATCTACTCTGTCTGTACTGTTTGCAACAACAAAGCCTGGATGACAGCATTTCTGTTAACAGCATGGTTTGCAGAATAGTTTAAGCTTACTGTTGGGACCCACTGCTTGGGAGATGTAGTTATACCTTTCAAAATATTCCTGCTCATTGATAATCCACCTGGTTACCGAAGAACTCTGATAAAGGTACACAAGGAGGCTGATATTGCCATAGATAGTGGTTTCTCTGATGGACCTGAGCAAAGTAAATTGAAATCTTCTGGAAAGAAGCAGTATTCTAGATGGCATTCATGACGTTCAGGATTCATAGGAAGAGGTCAAAATGTCAACATTAACAGTAGTTTGGAAGAAGTTGATTCCAATTCTCATGGATGACGAGGGATTCAAGACATCAGTGAAAGAAGTAACTGCAAATGTGATGGAAATAGCAAGAGAACTAGAATTAGATGTGGAGCCTGAAGATGTGACTGTATTGCTGCAATCTCATGAGAAAACTGGAACTGATGAGGAGTTGCCTCTTACAGATGAGCAAAGAAAGTGGTTTCTTGAGATAGAAACTAGTTGTGGTGAAGATGCTGTGAACACTGTCCAAATGATAACCATAGACTTAGAATATTACATGAACTTAGTTGATAAAGCAGTGGCAGAGTTTGGGAGGATTGACTCCAGTTTTGAAAGGTGTTCTACTGTAGGAAAATTGCTATCAAATAGCATCACATGCTACAGGGAAATCTTTCATCAAAGGAAGAGTCAGTGGATGCAGCAGACTTCATTGTTTTATTTTAAGCAATTGCCACAGCACACACCCGCCTTCAGCAGTCGTTATTCTGACCTGTCAACAGCCATAAACATTGAGGCAAGACCCTCTACCAACAAAAAGATTACAACTTGCTGAAGAATTTTTTTAGCATTTTTAGCAATATTGTTTTAAATTTTGGCTTTTATTTTAGATACAGGGGGGTACAGTTGTAGGATTGTTACATGAGTATATTGGATCTAGGTAGTGAGCCTAGTACCCAGTAGATAGTTTTTCATCCCGTAGCCTCCCCCTTTCAGTAGTCTGCAGTGTCCAGTTTTCCCATGTTTTTGACCACATGGGCTCAGTGTTTAGCTCCCACTCTCCCACTTGAGAACATGTGGTATTTAGTATTACGTTCTTGTTTTAATTCATGTAGGATTATGGCCTCCAGCTGCATCCATGTTGCTGAGAAGGACATGACTTCATTCTTTTCTGTGGTGATGTAGTATTCCATAGTGTATATGTACCACATTTTTCTCATCTACTCAATCATTGATGGACACCTAGGTTGGTTCCATGTCTTCCCTAGAGAATAGTGTGACGATGAATGGATGAGTGCATGCATCTTTTTGGTATAATGATCTATATTCCTTTGGTTATATACCCAGTAATAGTACTTCTGGGTGAAGTGTTAGCTCTGTTCTTTGAGAAAGCTCCAAACTGCTTTCCACAGTGGCTGAACTAATTTACATTCCCACCAGCAGTGTGTAAGCATTGCCTTTGCTCCGTGGTTTCACCAGTGCCTGTTGTTTTTTGGCTTTTTAATAGCAGCCATTCTGTCTAGTGTGAGATGGTATCTCATGTGGTTTTGATTTGCATTTGTCTAATGATTAGTGATGATGAGCATTTTTTCATATGCTTGTTGTCCACTTGTATGTCTTCTTTAGAGAAGTGTCTTTTCATGTCTTTTGCCCATTTTGTAGTGGGGTTATTTGGCGTTTTTTTTTTTTTTGCCTGTGGATTTGTTTAAGTTTTTTGTAGATTTGGATATTAGACCTTTGTTGGGTGCCTAGCTTGTGAATATTTTCTCCTGTGGTGTAGGCTGTCTATTTACTCTGTTGATGGTTTCTTTTGCTATGCAGACACTCTTTATTATAGATATAAAGTGTGTAAAATTTATAATCAATAAATACACATTTACTGATTCAATAAGTCAATCACATTTATTGATTTACAACATAATTTACTTAGGTCCCACTTGTCACTTTTTATTTTTGTTGCAGTTGCTTTTGGAGACTTAGCCAAAAATTCTTTGGCAAGGCTGATGTAGAGAAGGATATTTCCTAGGTTTTCTTCTAGGATTTTTATAGTTTGAGGTCTTATATTTAAATCCATGGTAGGAGAGCACCTCCCTGTCCCTTTTAAGTGAACCATGTTACCTGCTGTTAGCAGTGAAGTGGAGCAGAAGTCACAGGTGCCATTTCTGGGCAGAAGCTTTGAAGGGACCGTGGCGAACCACCCCATCATTTCTTCTGCCTCAGCAGTTTTGGAGGCACAGAAGTCGGGTGTTACGGGCTGAATTGTGTCCCCCACCCCCAAACTGATATGTTGAAGTCCTAACCCCAAGTGCCTCAGAATAGGATTGTGTTTGGAGATGGGGCCTTTAAAGGTGTAATTAAGGGGAAATGAGGTCATATGGGTGAGCCCTCATCCAATCTGTCTGGTGTTCTTATAAAGAGAGGTGATGAGGACCCAGACGCCGACCGAAGACCACATGGAGGCACAGACAAGAGGGTGGCCACTTACAAGCCAAGGAGCCAGGCCTTAGAAGAAACCAATTCTGCTGATACCTTCGTCTTGGACTTCTGGGATCCGGAACTGTGAGAAAGAATATTTCTGTTATTTGAGACCTCCATCTGTGGTATATTGTTACGGTAGCCCTAGCAAACTTGTATAGATTTTTGATACCAGGAAGTGGAATGCTGCTCTAAAAAATATGCAAAAATGTGGAAGTGGATAATGAGTACAGGCTGGAAGAGTTTGGAGGTACATGCTGCAAAGGCCTAGATGGTCTTCTTTATGTGTTTAATTTTTTGGTCAAAAATATTTTAATTGTTTTTCAAAGAGTTCTGGGAAAATAATTACCTAAGGAAAAGAAATAGCATCGCTTATAGGTGGGTTTGAATACCAGCCCTATAGCTTTGCTGAGAAATGGAGAAATTCTTCTTGGTGGGAGTCCTGAATTGCATTAAATGGAGGGATAGGGTTAAGGTGTTTATTTTGTGTTTTTTGCTTTCAGCTTTTGGTGGTTTTGGTGGTGGTTGTCCCAAGTGAGTCCAAAACCCAACAGGGAAAAGAACATTTAATCTTAAAACATGAGAACCTTCCTTGACTCCATGGCCCGTGTTCCAGATATACTAGGATGTGGTTGGGCGACCCAGGGCTTCAGGTGTCCCTTCCCCCATGGCTTTGCTGGGTGCAGCCCAGGCAGCAGCTCTTACATGTTGGAGTTTGATGCCTGAGGCTCTCCCAGGGTGGCCTTGCACACTGCTGGCTCTACCATCCTGGAATCTTGGGGCTAGCCTCCTCCCCATGGCTCTGCTGGGCATTGCCCTAGTGGGGACATTCTGTGGTGTCCCTCCCCTGTGGCGGTTCTCTGCCTGACTCCAAGGCTTTCTGGGACATACTTTGAAATGTAGGTGGAGGTAGCCATGTCCCACAGCTATTGCACTCTGCGCACCTGCAGAATGAGCACCATGTGGATGCTGCTGAAGAGTTTTCTGTCTGTACCCTCTGAAGGGGTGACATCATGTTCCCCACTCCACTAGGGCCCATTGAGCAACAGTTGGAGCAGCCAAGGAAAGCACCACAGCACAATGTGGGAACCAGTGGCTTCAGGGAGTGCTGGGCAGCAAGCCCCAAGGTCCCCAGGGCCCACCTTGGAAACCGTACTCCCGTCAGTGCCCTGGCACCATGGACCTGTGATGAGAGTGCAGCCTGAGTGATCTACAAAATACCTTCAGGGTCGCTCTTCCATTGTCCTTGTGAGGAGCCCAGCCCTGATCCACACAGGCCTCCTGACCCACACCCGCGTGTTCTCTCCCAAACACACTTTCTTATCTGTTCAATATGGACAGACTGAGAAGGCTAAAAATTTCCCGAATCTTGTAAGTTCTGCTTCCCTTTTGATTATAAGTTCTGTCTCTAAATCATTCCTCTTTTCTTTCATTTTCCTATAAACCTTCAAAAGAATCAAGCCGCTCCTTCAATACTTTGTTTGCTTAGATATTTCTTCTGCCAAATTTCAGTTTCATCACTCGTAAGTTTTGCCTGCCACTAAACACTAGTGCTTTGCCACTTTATGGCAAGCATCACTCACCTTTCCTCCAGTTTCCATTTACCTCTTCTTTATTTCCATCTGAGTCTGAGACTTCATCAGAATGACCTTTCCTTTCCATATTCTTTTTTTTTTTAGAGACTTGGTCTTGCTATCTTGGCCAGGTTGGTCTTGAACTCTTGGCCTCAAGCAGTCCTCCCGCCTCGGCCTCCCAAAGTGCTAAGATTTCAGGTGTGAGTCACCATGCCTGACTCCCTCCATATGCTCCAACATTCTGTCCAGCCCTTCTCTTCTGAGCCCTCAACGTAATCACCCTTAATGAAGAGTCATAAGGAGAAGATGGCCACCAACATGCTAGGAGATGGGCCTGGAACAGAGCCTTCCTGCACAGCCTCAGAGGGACCCACCCTGCTGACACCTTGATCTTGGACTCATGGCCTCCAGGACTGTGAGACAGTAAGATTCTGTTGTTGAGGGTACCCAGTCTGTGGTCCTGTAAAACAGCCCTAGGAAACTAACACAGCCTGTTAGCCCACAGATGGTGGAGAGATGGAGTGTGCAATGGAGCTCCAGGCTGACTCTCTCCAGCTCCCAAAGTGCACTACGGGACCCTTGGGTAGGTATAGGTGTGGGGTGTAGGTATGCAAGATAATTTGGGTGGTGCAGGGCGAATAATGTCAACTTACATAATGGATTTATCTTACTGGATAAATCAGGGGTTCCCTCCTGTTTGGAACCAGGCTGCACAGCAGGAGGTGAGCAGCCAGCCAGCGAGCAAAGCTTCATCTGTAGAAACAGCTGCTCCCCATCCCTTACATTGAGCTCCATTACGGCATGAGCTCTGCCTCATGTGAGATGAGCGGTGCCATTAGATTCTCATAGGAGCATGAACCCTACTGTGAACTGCGCATGCCAGGGATCTAGACTGCGTGCTCTTTATGAGAACCTCATGCCTGATGATCTGTGACTGTCTCCCATCACCCCCAGATGGGACCATGTAGTTACAGGAAAACAAGCTCAGGGCTTCCAGTGATTCTATATTATGGTGAGTTGTGTAATTGTTTCGTTATATGTTACAGTGAAGTAATAATAGAAATAAAGCACACAATAAATGTAATGGGCTTGAATCATCTCCGCATCATCCCTTCCCCTTCTCCCTGGTTCGTGGAAAAATTGTCTTCCATGAAACTGGTCTCTGGGACCAGAAAGGTTGGGGACCACTGGTGTAAATGCTTCTAAGAATAGTTAAGCAACTTAAGGTTTACATGCTGCTAAAAATATGGGCTTCAATGCTAAGAAAAATGGATTCACATGAAAACACTATCTTGCTGTGGTCCAGGGAATCTAAACCATTCTAACAGAGAGATGTGCAGCTTGGAGCTGGAGCTGCGCTCCCACGTCTGGTCCACCTCATATCCCTGCACCACACACACATGCACATATGCATACAGACATGTACACATGCATACACACATGCACATGCACACACGTACACATAAATGTATACACGTGCATATACCTGCACACATACACTCACAGACACACACACTCACTGTGCTTCATGTCCTCACTAAGGTGGCATGGGAGGGAATGTGTGTTTTTAAGGGGAATGAAGACAACTCAGGCCCCTCGTTCTCCTGGCATTTGCACCCGTGTCTTCTCTACAGAGCATGCTTCAGTCTCTTTCTTGGCTCTCCCTCTTAGTGAAAGAGAGAAACAGAGCCCTAGCATGTACCTGGCTGCTTAAGGTGCAAACCAAGTTTACAAGCTTCCCGGGGAGCCAGGTGAGAAGAAGACACTGCAGAGCCTCCCCAAAAGAAGCATCAGCTTTTGGTGGATCCTTGAGCCTAGGAAAATGATAGATGAGACATCACAGTTCATCAGAAGACAAACAAAATCCACTAAGGAAAAGCAGTGGTCAAAAGTTTTATTCTCTTAGAGAAGGGGTTCTCCACTCACTCCCTCCTGCCGCCTTGTGAAGAAGGTGCTGCTTCCCCTTTGCCTTCTGCCACGATTGTAAGTTCCCTGAACTGCGAGTGAATTAAACCTCTTTCCTTTATAAGTTACTCAGTCTCAAATATTTCTTTATCGCCATGTGAAAACAAACTAATACAGACCCCTTCCCTGAAGCACCTTCTCCTTAGGCCACCAACTGCCCCCATACTTCTCCTCTGCCCCTGGTCTTTCTTTTCCCCTCATGAGGCCCAAGTGATCCACATGGCCAACCCCAGCCCCATCCTACTGCAGGCCTGTGCGGCTGCTGGAGAGGCCGTGCTCCTTTCCTCACCCCGAGGCTGCCTGATATGCTCTCTGGATCCTGTAGGAAACTGACCCCCTAGTCTCATACTGACTCCCTATTCTCACACTGGTGCAACTTCTCCCAAGACCTCAAAGCTGAACGACGTGAGCTGGTATTTTTTCTTGTCTCCACCTGCTCGGGCTGTCATTGGGACAGTCCTAGAGTGGGGGGCCAATGGGTGAATGGGTAGATGAATGGACAGTAGTCCAGGGAGGATGCCCCTGTCTGTCCTGAACGGGGCCCTTCCTCCAATGAGAAGCCTTCCTGAGTGAGTTTATACAGTCATCCCTTGGTATCCATGGAGGATTAGTTCTAGGGTCCCGGGGATGCCAAAATCCATGGATGCTCAAGTCTCTGATATGACATGGCTGAGTAATTACATATAACCTATGCACATCCTCCTGTATACATTAGACCATTTCTAGATTATTGATGATATGTAATACAATGCAGATGCTACATAAATTGTTGTGATACTGTATTGTTTAGGGAATGATGACAAGAACAAAGTCTGCACATGTTCAGTGGAATCATAAGCATCCAATTTCGTTTCTGAATATTTTTCATCTGCTTTTAGCTAAATCCACAGATCCAGAGCTTCCGGATATGAGGGCCAAGTGTGCTTTGAGAGTAGGGTGGGTGAGGTTGCTAATGAGTACAGGGAAACAGGTGTCGATCAGGAGGGCCCTGCACTGGGGTATCTGGACACTCTGTCTCAGGATTTGAGGCTGTAGGATTGGATGGCACAGGCAGACTCAGCCCAGGTCAAAGCCCTCCCCTTAAATGTTCTTTTCATCCCAAGCTCTTTCTGTTCCCTGGAATTTGGCAGCCCCTAGGCCCTGGGTAGAAGGACAGATGAGCCAGACTTTAGAAAACATGTCTGGAAGAGTGAGGCCCTACTGTGTGCCGGGCACTTTCCCCGCAGGATCCTCTAGCTGGAATAACCAAGGGTCGTGGAGAGAAATACCCAGTTAAAATATCAGAAATAGAAAAAGAGATACCACTAGTGATAGTATTTTGAAAAGACCATTAGAGATACTAAAAAGAGCATTAGGTAATAGTATTAGCACTTTTATTCTGAGATTCAACAGCAGCAGTCACTTCCCTCCACCCCATGTGTGTCTCAGGACCACCTGGGCGGGGAGGGCTGAGGTCAGGGAGCACCCATGGATGATCTGATTCTGGCCCTGGGCCCTGGGGGCGACAGTGATGAGGAACTGGGTGCACATGAGTGGGGCAGCCAAGCATGGCAAGAGAAGCAATACATGCATGCACAGACGTGTTTACCCACATACATGTGTGCACATACACACTGTAGGCGGGCATGTTGATGCCTCAGGCAGTGGAGGATGCTGACTCTGGGCCCTGCTGACCCAGGCAAGGCCCCATTGTGATGCGTGCCACGACCTCAGAATGTCTCTGGTGCTTAGCACCCATCCTCTCTCCAGCCTGCCTCTGTGTTCTACAGCAGCTACACACACACACAGTGGTATCTGGAGCAGCTCTGTGAACTCAAAGGTTTTCTCTCTGAGAGGCGTAACACAGGCCAGCTGATTCATCAGAATCAGGTGAGTGTGACCTGCTCTCTTCCCTCCATGCTGACTTGGGGACAATGGCTACGGGGTGGGCTGTGTTGGCCTCTGGGCACCTGCTGAGGAGGGTCATCCCGAGCACTCACCGGGCACCCATTCTGCACTGCCTGTGTAGACGATTGTCTCTTTCGTCCTCATGGTGCCTCCATAGGGTAGATGCTGTTCCCAAATGTACCCATTTGACAACTGAGACGTCTGGTGTCAGAGGCGGTATCGACCCGGGAATCCTGACATGACCCTGGGTTTTGCTCTTGGCCCTGCCCTGTGCAGGGCTGGACTTAAGGCCTGAATCCTGTGGTCTCCCTGCCCTAGATCCCAAATCTGTCCAGGGTTTCTGATCCTGAGGGGGCAGAGCCTGGCCCTGGCAGAGCCACTGGGATGGATCCACTGTGGGTGGGAAGGAGGGGAGGGTCCTCAGAACACATCTGGGGCCTAAGCTGGGTCCTGATGGTCCCTGTGAGACCCACTGGACACACATGGTCGCTTGTCCGGGAGTGGCATGGGGAGCCTTCTGCCTTTGAGCGCTGTGGAAAATGAAGGAGCCCTGGAGAGCTGGCTGAAGGGAGACTATCTTCCATCCTGTTCAAAGGGGTCCAGGAACTGGGGTTGTCCCCAAGTATTTCTTTCTCTGTCTGGTCCTATCCAGGCCTTGCCCTCCTTTTGCCCCAAGTGTTCCCAGGAGGGACGATGCATCTAGGTGTTCCCCAGGACCAAGGACCCACTGTTCTTCCTCAGTGACCCAGGATAATGAGGCCCCGTCCTGTATGGACACCTCAGAATGGTGGAGTCCACAGACCCTCCCCGAGAGATGTGGTTTCCACGAGCACAGAGACTGCTTTGGAGACAGTAGCTTATTTTCATCCCCTAAACCTGTTGTTCCTAAAGTGGCTTCACTGTTCAGACTGAAGGGCCACGGTAGCCCAAGTGATGAGTGGAGCAGAACGGAGTACTCAGGAGAGATCTTGTTCCCTGTAGGAAACTGGACATCTCTGTGGTCCCTGAGCATCCCAGGAGGCAGATCGTACAGAGACCTCTGGGCCCTCTCCCCAGTCTGCCTCCACATCCCTGTAATAGCCCATCATGGACCCTTCACCCTTGGCAGGTGGACACCATTGAAACTGCCAGGGCAGGTGTGTCCCCATTTCATGGCATTTGGGGACAACAGGATTCTCTGTCCAGGTCCCACTGTCCTCAAGTCCTTGGGAAGATGCCCACCCCTGCT